CAACACGCGCGGTCGAGGGCGCTGCAGGCGTTACTGCTTACTAGGGACCAGGAACATGCGGGACATACGTAAGAACATTGTATTTTGTAATACTTTTAGGTCAATATCCGATTCGGTTATCAGTTTGTTCGAATATGCCTTTATTCTATATCTAAAGATGTATTTTTCATTATTTAGCAATGTATTATTGGTAAACATATTTTGTGAGTATAACATGTAGGATATTTTGCAAAAGTACAAAGTCTGCATAATTATTTCACATTAAAATCTTATACTTATCCACTCTAACGTCCGGGCCGCGCGACCGTTTATCTCTCTAACGTCCAGCTGCGCGCGGCGTCCGAACCGCGCGCGACTCGCAAGTTCGTCGTAACAAAAAACCTATATAGCTACTGAACCGTAATGGCTAGAATAAAGAAAAAAATACCAAAAAAAAGATTGAAGAATACTGATCAATCTTAACGATTTTTTTAAATCGTAAGTTATAATCTTTGATACAAAAAACCGGGTAAAACATATAATTCAGAAAAAAATACACAATTATTTCTACCTTTTTAGAATATAAGGCACAACTATTGCATATTTTATTAATAAAATATTCTTACAACAAACTAGACTTATTACCCTTTCTTCTGATGTATATACGATTACATTCGGTTAACTCTAAGTATTTTAATTAAATCAAAACAAAACACTACTCCTCGTAATTTTACCGCGATGTCCCGAGCGCCCTTGACTCGTCCGAGAAGGCGAAATAATAGCAATATGGCCGCCCGTCTAAGGTTTCCCACACACGATGTAATTTTAATAAAATATTTTAAATAATTTTATGAATTAGTTTTATGCAATAATTGTATTTTTGAAGTTGTTTATTTGTTCTAGTTGGTTATTTAAATAAAAAGCAAATAAAAAAATCAATATATAATATAATAATTTATTCCTTCCACACATTTATATATGGTAAGCCATAAAATATGCAGAGATTGACGTCGCTGTGAATAATTTAAAACATTAGTATTGTTAAAAGAATAAAATAAAATTTGGCGAAGCATTAAAATATATGCGACCATGCAACACGTGCAAGGGCAACAGTAAAAAAAAAGGTAGTCAAATCCACAAGTGCATTTTTTTACATTTAGCGGAAATTAATCAACACGAACAAACATGTAATTAATGTTTCAAAACAAAAAAAAAACCATTAGAACATTATACATATCCAACGGAAACCAAGCGAAAAATAAATGATGAATATTAGTACAAAACCCAAAAGTGCATTTTATATTAAATATTAGTATCATCTCAAGCAAAATATTATACCACCACTAGCAAAACAAAAATAATGCAAACATATTTTGCCGTGTATAGCGAACCTTATTTATCACGTTTCATGTAACGTCCGTGGATACCAAACAGTCCACATCAAAAAACCTGAGGAACACATTGACATTATTATGGAATCTTCAGTGAATTTAGTATATTTCTCTTTGAAAAATGTATTATTTGCTTATTACGAAATGTATTTCGATATTTTATATACTATTGTAATGCAAAGTATGTAAAATATGTATAAACAAAACTAAAAGTGGCCGACACCATACGACCGGCCATTTTTTTCGAAACAACAATCGTTTGAAGTTAAAAGTAGACTAGATTTATTAGCTAAAACTGTGATATTTATACATCATCGTAAAGCACAAATCTTCTAGTTTATTTTGATGTATAACACTTGCAAGATAAATAAAACAAAACTGTAGTACTTACGACATAATTGTTGGCACTCACAAAAACACTTCACAACACGCGCGTCAAACGAGTCAACTGAACTTAAAAAAATATATTTTGTTTGTCAAAGCTTATTACACTGCCATCTCTATTTTTTTCGTCGAACCATTTATTCAACTGTATAGATAATCTGTCAAAACTCACCAAGCAAGACCGTATTTTAAACTAGAGGGCGTTAAACACAACTCGTCGCTTTGGATACTATAGTATCCATGGGCGTATGACGCTACTTTTTTCTTGGATACCGTACTATCCACGGACGTCAGAGTGGTTATTATATAAAGCAGAAGAGTTTGTTTTTTTGTTTGTTTGTTTGAACGCGCTAATCTCAGGAACTACAAGTCTGATTTGAATTATTCTTTTTGTGTTGGATAGCGCATTTATCGACGATGGCTATAGACTATAAACCATCACGCTACGACCAATAGGAGTTGAACAGAGCGTGTGGAACCGCGCGGAAGTAGCTAGTTGTATGATATATCTACCTTCTTTCACCGTCTATGTGTCTATGTCTTGCTTCAGTAATTGTCATATACATATTTCGTTTATTTTACAGCGTGGCACTGGCAGTTCTCAACGGTTTGCTGAGTAATGACCTCACAGACTCTCTGAGTAAGCTAGCCACGTGGCGGGAGAACACATCCACCCACAAACGATACCATTCCTTCTATAGGTATGTACTACAATTAACTACATTTATTTTTTTATAAGTTTCGTATTTATCACTTGTTTTTAACTACATTATAAGCGCAACTTACTCATAAACGCATATCTTTAATTTTAAATTCACAGAGACATCTTATTCCTTGCAATGGCAGCCCTCGGAGAGCATAATATCGACCTCATAGCGTTACAACGCGAGTACACTCGAGCTCTCGAACAGCTCGGAGGAGAAGCGAGACCTCAGGACCTCCCTCCGTCCCCCACCGCCGTCTGTTGCCGACACTACTTCAAACGACTACGGTTAATCGTAGATGAATAACAAAGTACATAAAGTACCTAAAACCGAGATAAATATACGTTGCTTTAGTTGCGCAAAAGTTAAGCTTAGTCCATCATAATTGCGCAAACTTTTCCTTTGTTGCGCAAAAAAATGGTGGGTGAAGTTTAGTCTGATTTGTCCTAAGTAATGTTTATTTAACTTGCCTTTGAGTTTGACGTCTTTATTTCGTTAATAAAGGCGTGTTTCGTGGTGCAGTATAGCTGCTATCTATTGGGTAATGTATTAATTGTTTGCCTCTAACATTAATATAATCTTATCTCAAATTGCTTAGAGTTGAGTCTCTTTTCAATCTTCTCATAGTACCCTTCTTTTCTTTCTTTTAATATTTGCATTCAATCAACATATTTGTAAAGGAGGTAAACAATTTTACAAACCCAAACTGTTGAAGTAAAGTTAATACTTTATAAGCTGTCGAATGCGACTAAGATTTCTCGAGTTTCCAGCATTAAGTCGCGCCGCGCTTTATGTGATCAACACGTAACAACTTTTTAATGCGTAAGACGCAAGATCAGCAAAATGCACCAATTAATGAATTTTTAACGTAACTCCAGCTTGAAATGCTTTTATTTACGACGGGGCTACTCGAAACGGGTCAAATCCCTTCAAACGTTTATTTACACACATTATATTATTTACATTTAAAACAATATAAACGTATGTGTATATGAATAGAATGTATTGTTTGTTGATAAAGAGTTATTTTATTATTTGTAGTTTAGTTTTGATCTTTTCGTTCTATATACAACACAAGTAGGAGTACCGTCCATTTTATTTTAGAACGATATAGTTTATCGAAGCATTACGTTTGTATGACTACAAAACCACAACTAGACGAACTTCACAAGCCCGTCCAAGCGGGATCAAGGTACACTTGATTCAACATACTTGTAATAAATGATGAATCTATTAGTAGAAAGTAAACAGTAAGGTCAGGACTGCAAGATAAGTGGAATTGTATGGTGTATTGTGGCCTAAGTCTCATGAACATTGCCCCAAAGTATATTTCGAAGTATTGTTCACTCATAAGCAATGTATGTAAGAAATTCACGTTTCGGCATATCCATTAGTCTAGGATCGTGGGTGCTAAGTTAAGTGAGGGGCGGTGGCTGTAGTAACATATGTACATAGAGTTGTTGTATAGAGTAGGTGTAAGGCCAAGGAGGGCGGTATATAATTGTGCTTAACTATGTGATGCTAGCGCAGTGACGCGGTTGAATTCGTAAACGAATTGTATGAAGAGTTTGTGTGTGTTTACATAGTCACATTATTTATGTCCCAAGCACCCTGAGTGATTATTATAAACACTATTATATATAACAATTTTGAAATAGTAACAATATTTTATACACAGTCGATTTTTGTGAAATGTACCAAGTTACAGAGACAGTAAATAATGTGACTGCCAAAATTCATAAGTATTCATGAAAGTGTCAATATAGTTAGTTGATATGATGAGATCATATTGTTTAATTTTATCTAACCATTCTCTATTTACTTGAATCGTATGACTGCCATCTATTCTGAGTAGCATTGTATGCCTTTAGTAAAACGTAGCAGTTCTTAACTAATATTTGTTACTTTAAAGTACCAACCATGTATCAGAGTTGATAAAATGTATTATTTCAATGTACATAAATAAAATGGTTTATTTTCCTGCGCAGTTCATCTACACTGCAACTCGCAAATACTCAGACTAACTATTTCGTATTATTTTCATTAAAAATAATATGTAACACTATTTATTTGAAACTAACATTTAGTCCTAGACAGCAAAAAGTCAATGAAACTTAATTTTTCGATCAAATTCTAGTTTTAATTTATTTGAATCTACATTCGTATTTAAATGTGTATTTTAACCTTGGCTTATTCTTTTCTGTATCCAATTTTTATAATAAAAATGTATTTTCATCTTTGAATTGTATGTACACTAGTAATCATGTACAAGCCATATTGTTAGTTCCGTAAAATTGTACAATGAAGCCATGTAAGGGTTATTTCATGTTGTAAAATAATCACCTAAGAAAAATGAAGATTGAATCGTATATTCAAAGCTACAGTCATAAAAGACATGCAATTAACTTGCAAAGTTTTGTTATTGAATAAAGATTATTTTATTTTGACAAGTGTAATAAAATGCATATAATTTTTATAAAAAAAATATATAAGGCTTCAATATTAATTGTTTTATTTATTCAACCTATCTATGTACATTATATTATTGAGACATGCCTAATACTCTGTATAAGAATCTACCATCATGATCGTAATAGCAATCATTAACTTTATATGTGGCTCCTTTCTTGTATGCCTTTTTAGGAATTCTTATCCTTTCTGGATAATTCATAATCTCCTTTGGATCTTCAACTTCACTCCTAAACTCTACTATACCACTTTCAGGGTATTTATCATGGAACAGTTCCAATTCTTGATGGACCTCCTTCTTAGGAACTGTCTCTACAGGGCTAGGTCTTAGTTCTTCTGTTGAGCTTAAAATAATTCTATCCTTAATATCAACTTGATTACCTTTATCTAAACTTTTCTTAATTTTCGCAGTAAGTTCATCGAAGGTTATAAATTTATCCGATCTTTTTGGTGGTTTTTCTTTTGAATTTGTTTTAGTATCTGGACTTTGTAGTGCAAGAGGTTCATTACTGTTGGTAGGCCCAGCGTTTGCCTCATAATGTTCCTTAGCTGCACATTTTCTTACAATCCTCTCGAACTCGCCAAGATCCCTTTCAGGTGTGATGTCAATTTTAATAGATTCCTTCTTCAATGGAGGAATAGTTCTTTCAGAGAATTTCAAGAAATGTTCCCTAAGCTCTGGCGGTATGTCTAAGGATCCCTCTTTTAGTTCCCTCCAATTCCTCATGACTGAGGCATCATGACGCGCGATCCGCTCTTCTGTAGCTGGTTTCCATGGGAATTTGAGTAGTTTCTGCAAAATAAACCAGGGAATTTACAATGTCCTATAAGTCAGGTCCTTAAGTCAGGTGATACTATTTTAACTGCTTATTAGCTGCTGCTGCTTGGTAAATCAGTTGTTCTTATTAGCAGATTCACTGTAGCACTTTTAGATTACAGAATGTTTCCCATGTAATGTTATTGACTGTTGCACGGGAAAGAAAAAACAACTACAAGTTACTGACCTTAACAAAAGGTACGGTTACAGGAAAGCTCTCTGCAATCCTCTCCGGTGTCCATTCATCGGGTTCACTGCTGGCCAAGTGACGGATTTGTTCCTTTTCACTCCAAGTCAGTAAGTTGGGCATGTGCTCTTTGAAGTACTTGTCCTTAACGATGTGATGACGTAGTTCATGTTTACCCACTAAGGTCTCCTTTTTAAATTCTTTGTATGCTTGTCCAACCTGTAAAATAGTATATTATATTTTGTTATAATTTCAGTGCCTATTAAACAATTTGTTTCTGATGAATTTAGTTACGAAAAGAAACAAACTTCATAATTTAAATAAGAATTATGTTGCTGCATGCTGGATCTACTTACATTATAAAAGTCACTCTCAGATTGTTCGACGAATTCTTCGAGGTTTTCTTCTTTTATTTGCATACCATCTTCTTGAAAAGCTTTCAATCGATTGTTGAGTCCAGGATTTGGTTTAATACCATCAATCCTGCGACTTCTGAGGTTACGAATTATAACCTTATCACAGGTGCGGTATAACTGCCTCAAATGTATTCCAAACATGTTTCATTTATTTTAAAACGTTTAAACACATATAATTTGTTTTACACTGATATTATTAGGTAAAATAAACTTTTAAATAAAAAATACTTCGAGCACTTTGCTTGTTTTGATTCTGCAACACTGACTGAATGACATTAATTGATGATTTGACAATTTTGACATAAACATACTTGTCAGCTTCGACATTGACAGTTTCAGTATGCTGTCATTTATTTATTTTATTCAATGATGCATTCAATTGATTACTAAATAATAAACAACTTAAGTTACAAAAAGATAAAAATGAAATAAAAGAAATCTAAAAATAACTATACACTGTGTAAATAGTTATTTTAATAATAATAAGATTTTATAATAGAAATTTCATATTTTTAATTTCGCATCACGTTCACGTGCGGGCTTTTTTAAGGGGGGAAAATCATCGAATGACTGCTCCCGCCTGGGTGAGGCAGGAGGGAGTGTCAGACTCTTACGGACTAAAAACCACCCCGTTCCTTCTCCTGCACGTCGAGCCGGAGCCCCGGTTACCCGTTAGGTTCTCCGCGAATGCGGGCTAGATTTATCATGTCATGTCCTGATTGATACGGCTGAAAAACCGAAAACCTTTTTCTTCTAGTTAGTTACTACTAGCTGTTCCGGCAAACTTCGTACTGGCTAATTGTTTTTTCTCACCCTTTAAACCTGCCCTGGACTTCCAGGAACAATTCAAGACCAAAATTAGCCAAATCGGTTTAGTCGTCATAGGGTCCCTTTAACAGGATTAACGAATGGAAATTAATTTTTATTTCTATAGATTTAATATAATGATGAAGAATTTGAATAGGTATTCCGTGAGAATATTGCTCTGCGATGATGATTCATGATTTTCTTTATTGACGTCAATACATCGTAACAAGTTGGGCCAAAAAACACTACGACACGTGAGTCGAAACAGGTTTAAAAACCCATGCTTACCTAAATTAAAATGATTTATAATGTGAAAAAAGGATTAATGTTGTTTGTCAATCCTTATTAGGTAGGCTGCAAACAGGCAGGTAGGTACTTATATCCTTAATTGCAACCAGTCACCGACAAACGACGTGTCCCTTAAACTCCAACTTTTTGGTAACCTTACTACGACGCTTAAGACTGTGGTCAAAGTTTGGGATTGCTTTGAGTTTGTTCCGTCTTGGGCGTGATGATAAATACAAAACTTAAAGATAATTGAATAATTATGCAGTAGAAAGAAATGTTCAAATGATTTAAGGGAGTTGAAACTGCAATATTTTAATCAACTTACTTAACAAGACCAAGAAAAAGGTCTCTCATTGACGACATGAGGACTGTCCCACATGATTGTCTACATTCGCACAGAATCTGGTTTTTTATCAACCGGTTGCAAATGCACGCTGTTTCAGAATACCACTCTTGCATTATTATTACCTACATATTGACACTATTTTTTGTTTCTGATTTCGTTGCAGATTGAAAGTATCGAAAGATTTGAAAGTGGGTGTCTAGATACAAAAAATACGGGCTCATATTTTACTAGCTTTAATTAAAAAGGTGGAGAATCTCACTTCGGTTGATCTGCCTACTTATTTCGCTGCATCTGCTATGTCTATCGGATATTTTTTTTTAGAAATGGCTTTTATCTCCTTCCAGGGCCATGTCTATCTACAGTGCACAGGTAATATTAAAAGTAAGTAGCCTTAACCCATCAATGAAATCTGGTTCAATACTTCAATTTTAGTTTCCAACAAAAACTTGCACCATTGTGGTTTACGTAGCCATAAAATGTCTAACGTCTTACCTGTTTTTATAGGAGAAATGTTTGCATTAACGACCATGACTTTTTTATATTAAAACACTTTATTGTGTTCGGAAATTGCTGCCTATGGGGAAATACCAACCGCAGACACGTGCTTATGTATAAGTGCGTATCATACACTTAACTGTTAGCAAAAAAAAATTGGCAAAGTTTTTAGTACCTACTCATAAACACGTGACTTAGGAAGACTCAGATATAGATAGAACTCACACCATTAACAACACGTACCTTTTTTTTAAGGGGAGAAAATCATCGAATGACTGCTCCCGCCTGGGTGAGGCGGAAGGGAGTGTCAGACTCTTACTGACTAAAAACCACCCCGTTCCTTCCTGCACGTCGAGCCGGAGCCCCGGTTACCCGTTAGGTTCTCCGCGACTAACAGCACGTACCTAAGAGGTTTCTGATCGCAGTTTAAAATGTTCAGGTTTCTCAGAAAACGTTTTCTAAGTCCCTTAGCTAATAGTTTTAGCGACACCCGCAGGGACAATAGGGGTGGTACCAGATGAATGGCAACACCGGCAACGCACCTGTGACTCCTCTGGTGTCGTGGATGTCCACAGCGGCGCTGATCGCTTGCCATCAGGAGATCCGTATGCTCGTTTACCCCCTATTCCGTAAAAACAATGTATTCTAAGTAGCATATACGCCTTTTTTAAGGGGGAAAAATCATCTAATGCTCCCGCTTTAGTGTCAGACTCTTACTGACTAAAAAACCATCCTGTTCCTTCTCCTGCACGTCGAGCCGGAGCCCCGGTCATCCGTTAGGTTCTCCGCAACAGCATAAGTATACGCCTACGGGCATTATTGATGTGATCGATCGAAATGCGCTTGTCCCTTACAGTAGATACAAATGTAGACGCGAGTCTATTAGATATATTGGTATAACAGCACCCGTTCTATACTCGATAAAAAGTTTCACCGAATTCTTAACGGTGAATTCGATTAAGGATCGAACCCTAATTTTGATACCACAATAAAATGTAAAAACCCTTGTAGAAAATGCTTTCTATTCTTTAATGGGATGGAAAATTAGAAGGATGTTGTTGACAATTAGTGAGTAAACGGATATTTCATAACAATACAAAGGTATACTAAGTACAAACAGTTAGCATACTTACCTACATGTATTTCTCAATTACCTAACAGGACGGATGCATGGTTTAAATTGAAACTAAATATATAGTCTTATAAATAATAACAATATTAATATACAATACATTACATTTTATTTATTACAAAATCTTATAAGGAACATAGTACGGGTACGGACGCACATAAAACTATCCTAATCTGACGAAATTCTTAAGTGGATTTTCAGTTTTAATTGAAAAGTAATAAAGTTGAAATCAATTTTGATCGTCATTACAATCAGCGAGCGAAGTGTCCGGTGTTCGAAATATGAAATGTACGCCTCAGTTGGTCGCGACTGTCCGACGCATAAACGCGTTGTCTGAAATACTTACTTTTCGCGCTTGCGTCGGAACGTTCGATTTTTAAATAATTTAACGTTAAATAAATAATAGATAGGTATTTTTGTTTTTATTTTTGGTGATCTCAGTTCTCTATTTTTAAATTAAAGTGAGTATTTTTTTTGGTTTTTATTAGTTTATGATTTGTGTTGTTATTTCTTTACTTAGGTATCTACATCGAAAAATAAAATTTCGTAGCGTAATCACCATTTAGTATACACACACACAATATAAATAATTATTTGTAGAATTAATATTAGAAATAATAATTTTGATAGTTTCTGATTTACTTTTACCTAATTTTTATAAGAATTTTATTTCTTTATTAATTTACATCTGCGTGTGTAAGATTATTTGATAAAGCCACCGAAGATAATATAAGATAAAGTACTTTCATTGAGCCATCTATAATAATTATTTTACTTCTTAATCCCCGATTACTAAAAATCCACAACATTTTTTTACGCAAAAGTAATCCCTAATCATCGAAAATAAGGTCTATAATGGAGTAAGTAAGTCACCGGTGACCGCTTGGGGACATATCGATAGGTACAGAGGTGAATCGAATAACTTATTTTATTTCTTTATTTAATAAAAAAAAATACTAAGTATTCCCAAAGAAAAGAATACACTAAGCAACCGTACAGCTAAAATTCGTAAAATTTAACGCCTGTAGAATCGTAAAAATCTTTGGATCAACCTGAGTACTTAAGTGTTTGACAAAAACTTACTTATATTATAAACTAGCGGCCCGTCCCGGCTTCGCACGGGGGGACTTAAGATTTTTTACATAGTTTTACGTTTTATTTATATTTATTCTCAGTTTTTTTAGCGACCTGCCCTCCGTTGTCGATGTCGCGTCTTAAGGTAACCGATTGAACAATTCAAAAGTTATCTAGAGCAAACTTTTATAAGGATTGAACCATTCATTAAAACGATTGTTATGGGTAAACTATAAAAGGTAGACATATGCTCTCGCGGACTTTTTTAAAAATAATGTTAAGATAAACAATTCATCTATAGAACATTTTTGTATAACTTTAACTATATGCTCAGCGCACGCCACGGAAGGCCTCAGAAACGATACTTTTCCCTCGTTTTTAGAACAATTTTGGTTACTGCTCCACAACTATAGGACCTAGCGTGATATTATATAGCCTATGTTACTTCTGAATAATGCAGCTTTCGAATGGTGATCAATTATTGCAATCGGTTCAGTAGTTTTTGAGTTTATTCATTACAAACATACAAAAATACAAATCTTTCCTCTTTATAATATTAGTATAGACTAGCTACTTCCACGCGGTTTCACATGCTCTGCTCAGCTCCTATTGGTCGGAGCGTGATGTTTTATAGCCTGTAGCCATCCTCGATAAATGCGCTATCCAACACAAAAAGAATTATTTAAATCAGACTTGTAGTCACGGAGATTAGCGCGTTCAAACAACCAAACAAAAAAACAAACTCTTCCGGTTTATATAATAGTATAAGATAAATTCGAGAAATTTAAATTTAGATCGGTGCGTAATTGCTTTGCCTTAGGTCAAGTATACATGCTTCAAGTAGGCTCTGACTTGACTCTAGGATTCAAGTGAACTGAAGTAGGTAAGTGTACTCAAGATTTCATCTAGGTCACATTGGAGACTATGAATTAATCAACCAATGAATAACATGTTATAGTTAGCCTGTAGGTGTGTCGCGGAGAACCTAACGGGTAACAG